TTTTTTAATGCAATGTGTGTGTGCAACACAGGTCCGTCACCACTTTTCAAAAAAAAAACCTTTTTTCTTTTTTTGGGGGCTCTCTCTCCGGAGCCCACGGAGCCAGGTTCTCCCAAATTGGTATTCCTCTTTTTTTCTCTCTCTTTCATACCCAAAATTGGAGAGAAAAACACATTTTTTTGGGGTGGGGAGGGAAGGGAACCAAATTATGTTCGTCTTCCGAGTCTCTCTTTTCAATCTGCAGCCAGTATATGTACACACTGAATGAGAGGGAAAGAAAGAGGCTTTTAAGGAATTGGAAAATATCATATCGTAAATTTAGGTCTGAAAGTCATACAGTACGCCTAGAAGCTTTGACTCCGAGAAATTCAGTTTCAGGGGGTCAAGACGGTTCAGAAAAGTATGAGATTGGGTCCCATCACGATGTTTGAAAAATCTACAGTATCTCATTTTATTTTGCACCAAATCTCATGAAAAATCAATTTTTGGTTTCAGTGCGTCAAGAGAGACCAGAAAAGTTCAAGCAAGCAATCGTTTTGACCAAAACTAAAATTGGATATTTTCGGGTACCACCACGAAAATTCAAAAACTATAGTATCTCGGTTAGTGATCAATCAAAGTATGACCTTTTTTGATTTTTGGGATCAGGAAGTCAAGACGGTTTAGGAAAGTATAATCATGACCGGTTCAAAAAACTTTGAGTTTCGGGTCTCACCACGAAAATCCTAAAATTTACAGTATCTCGGTCAGGCTCGGGCAAAAAAACAATTTGAAAAAGTGATTTTTTGAAACTTTTTCTTCAATAAAGTGGCATCTAGGACAGGGATTTGCGGGAAATTTTCCGGCTGTTTGACACGAATTTTCCAGAAAAATTTTTGGAAATCGGGAAATTTTGTCTTGTAAATGACTTTTTGAATTTGGAATTTTTTAAAAGAAGAATATCGAAATTTGGTGTTTCCAATTTTTTTCAGCGGTGTACTTTTGTTTTTTCGGTAGTTTTCACCGGAAAATCAGACACACTAGTGAACTAGAGACAAGTGGGAAAAGAAGCATTCCCGATTCGAACCAAAAAAATTGAAAAATTGAAACGGATTTTTCGAAATTCCCCGGTCTATCTCGGTTTTTTAAGCGGAAAAACTTTTTCCGAAAAAATTTCCCGCACACCCTGATCCAGATAGGCCTCGAGGTGCCACTGTATTAGAGGTCCTTGGGTTCTCATGCTCTTATTCAGGTTATCCACGATATGACATGTTAGAAGGACTAGAGTGAGCTTCTAATAGAGTAGCACCTGACTAGGAGCCGCTCTATATTTTCTAGAAGTTCCCTTTTTTGATTTTTTGAGACATATTAGTCCTCTAAAGACAGGCGCCCTGCCCCACTATTAGAAGTAATTAATCTTTCAAGGAATTTTAGACATACGCGACGCTGCCGATTTGTTGTCCTTCGAGCTGCCCTCATCCGACGATTTGGGCTTCAGAAACTTGAGCATTATTCTGGTGGTAGTGTTACTACTGAAGGACTAAGAGTCCTTCGGTGTCCTTCTGAAGATATCCAAATTGTGGAGCCGGACGGGGGGAGAAACGGGACGGGAGGGGGAAAATCTTCTTGAGGTGTTGACTCCTCCAGTCTCCCTTTTTTCTTTTTCTGATAATATTGAAATGGTTTAGTAACGGATTGAAAAGAGAGAGGTAAAGAGTACGGTAATAAAATGAAATGGGGTACGGTAGAAATAGAAGGGATTACTGTAGAAGTGGGAATGGGGTGTGTTGAGGAGGGGGTGGTTGAGAAGTGGATTAGGTCAAGAATAAGTCTAGGGAAAGTCAAAAATAGTCAAAACCTATAATATCAGAAAATTTCGGTGTTTTAAGTCCCAAATGCATCTTAGGACCAATTTTCAGATTTCGGGTCTCACCACGGAAATCTAAAAACCGTTGTATATCGGTCAGTTTTTGTCCAAATTCAATAAAAGTAGTATTTTTGAAATCAGTGAATAGAGACAGTAAAAATGAGTATAATGATGACAGGGTTTCCAAAATTTTCAAAATTTTGGGTCCCATCACGAAACCTTAAAAACTACAGTATCTCTGTCAGTTTCCGTTCAAATTTGTTGAAACTAGAATATTTTGAGTCAGCGTTTCAAAAAATTTCAAATAATTATAAGCGAAGGCACCCGGAAGTGAAAAAATCACAGAACTTTACAGCTCAAAAAATTCTCAAAACTAGCTGAGACAAAAAAAAAAGAAAAAGTTTCGAAAGTGTACATCTAGCCAGAAAAAAAAGAGTCGAAACAACACAAAACATTTTTATGAAGAGAGAGGAAGAGTGAATAATCGATAAAACCATCGGAAAAGTGAGAGATAGAATATGGAAATATTCAAATGTATATATGTGTGTTGCCTCTCTCTGTACGCGTTTGTGTGTGAGAAACTTTTTCATTTTTTTTATTCCTAGAGGGGTGGCTTCGATTAAAGTGTCATAGAAAAAGAAAAAAAACGATTTGGCACCGAGTGGAATTGAACCCGGGACCTCATATTGAAAGGCAAAAGCGTTCACCACTACACCGCGATGCACTTTGACAGTAAGGGTGGACAGGGCGTAGAGGTAGCGGCGCCCGGTAAGAAGGGGGAGGGATAATCACAGTTACGTTCACATAGTGGTTCGGAGAGCCCAATTCAAAAAAAAAAAGAATGGAACTAAAAAACGAAGTGAAGAAAAATCAAAACAAAAACAGAGAGAGCTCTCCCAATGTTCTCACGGATTGAAAGAGAGAGAGAGAGAGAGAGAAAGAAAAGAAGAAGAAGCTGTGTGTGTGTCTCAGAAATTTAAAGCAAAGGGGGGGGGGGCACGATGAAAAATGAATCACTTGGGAGCCCCCACTTTCACTGGAGAGAGAGTGAAAAGAGCTCTCAAATCTCGAAAATCAAAAGAGACATATGAAAATGTGTGTATTGGGTCCCACCACGAAAATCTTGAAACTACAGTATCCCGGTCAGTTTTGAACCAATCAACTCGAAAGTGTGATATTTTGAATCAGTGAAAGAAGACGGTTCAGAGAAGTATAATCATGGCAGCTATTCGAAAATTTTTAGTTTTCAGAATCTATGGGTCCCACCACGAAATTTCTCAAAACTACGGTATCTCGGCAAGTTTTTGTCCAAACTCATCAAACACTCCAGAATTGGGTTCAGCAGTTCAAGACGATTCAAAAGAGTATAAACAAGCCTAGCTTCCACAAAAGTATGATTTTCAAAAAATTTTGGGTCCCACCACGAAAATCATAAAACTACCCTATTATCGCTAATTCCTCAGAATAAACAAACTCAACAACAAAATTTCAGAAACAATTCAAGAAGCGAAAGTTGGCAACAAATCGAAAAAGAGAAAAGAGAAAACGGACTGTTTCAAACTGATAACGAGAGAGTGGAGAGACGCAGACAGCGAGAGAAAAACTGATAAGGATGATGATGATTACTGCGGAGCCCAGCACGAAGAAGAATTCCAGCTCACCTTTAAACTGTATGTCTGCTTCTCTGCACTCTCTCTCACCACATCATCACCCAAAAAACCATTTGATAATACCCCTCTTCTCTCTCTCTCTCTCTTTTTTCAACGGGAATTCGAGATATATTATACATAATATTATACATGTTTATATGAATATACCGTTGATATTGTTCTCACTCTCTCTGTCTCTCTGCGTCTCTCTCTCTCTATCTCACTCTCTCTATTCGGGTATCATCACTGTACTAGGGAAAGGGTGTGTTGCTAAAAATAGAAGCGGCCGCCCGAGAGAGAGAGGACACAAAATAAAACTTTTCTCTTCTTTTTCCTTCTTCTTCTTCTAGCTGCTGTCGAAAGGGAAAGCGTGAAATTTCAGTCTTACCGGGAGAGTAAAATCGAAGTTGGCGAGTTTTGGACCGAATTATGTGAAAATGTGATTTTTGAAACCAGCATGTCGAGAGGATTCGAAAAAGAATAATCATGGCGGGGTTGCAAAATTTTAGATTTTTTGGGTCCCGCCATGAAACCATAAAAATTACTGTAACTCGGACAGTTTTGTTAGAAAATTTTTCTGAAATCAATCGTTCTGAAATCACGAGGTCGAGACGATTCGGAAGAGAAAAAACAGCTCTAGGTTCTTCAAACATAGAAACTTTCGAATTTTATGGTCCCGCCACGAAAACTTCGAAAAACAACACTTCTAACGAATTTCAGAAGTTTGAAGGCATTCAGGGAAAAAAACAAAAAAATTTGACCTCTCGCGGAATCGAACCCGAGACCGAAATTTCAAAAACAACAGTGTTAGCTACTACACCACACAGTGCAACGCCAATTACAGAGGTGAGGGTCGTACAGGAGACTGCGCCCTTCTCACTTTCCCAGCGGCTAAGGACACCATGAGCAGAGATCTCGGTAACGGTAAAGAGAATAGCACAGAAGAAAAAGTTCAGAGCAAAATGTGGAAACCTTCTAATAGAAGGGCACTGTAGGAAGTTAGAAATGAATGTGACAAAAGAAGAAAAGAAGGTCTAAAAATAGAAAATACATGTCAAAATTTCACAGTAGTAGTACCCCTGGGCGATCGAAATTAATCTCTCCAACCACTTTCCCCTTCTATTCCCCTCTCTTTTCAGCCCTCCCTTCCCCATTGGGAGGAAATATTTTCAGAATTCTATTTATATATTCGTGTTGTCAGTCACTGTCCGAAAGTCATTCAAAATGAGTGGAAAGGAGAGAGGCAAGTCAATTCGGTGATTGGGGGAAAAGAGGAATTTGGTGGTGGTGGTGGTATTGGGAAATGAAAAGAATGGGGTAGTAGTGGGAAGACACAATTAATTGGGAATTGGAGGCCGCCGCCTGTATTGAGACAAAACGAGTGATCATCAAAAGTTAGTGATTTTCTTCTACTTCTTGTTTTTTTGTTGTTTTGTGGTTGCTGGAGGTTGTTAGGGGAAGTTGATATGATCAACGAAATTTCTAGAAAAAAAAACAAAAAGGATTACCACCATGTGGAATTGAACCCGAGTTCTCATCTTGGAAAACAAGAGCGTTCACCACTACACCATGAGGGCGCAATATGGTGCAAGGGTAAGGGGCGATGACAAGGGGGCGCCTTTCTAGCCTTGTAGCTGAAGGGAAGCTAACAAGGTGGCAGGTTACCACAAAACTTCGAAAAAAAAAGGAATTTTTGTGTTTCCAAAAATGCCCTCCGGGGCAATAATCGTCTTTATGTGTGTGTGTTGGAAGAGGTGGGTGTGTGTATAAGTTTTCGTCACGAGTTGGTTTCGGAGGAAAAATGGAAAAAAGAGAGTACGAGCAGGCAGAAGAATATGCAAATTTTCGGGATGGAAGGGTCCGAAAAGAAGAAGGAGGGTCCTAACAAAAGAAGTTTCTCTCTGGGTGGAAAAAGAAGGATTTCGAAGAAGAACAAATTGAGAAGAATTTGGAGGAGGAGAGGGAATTTGAAATTTGTATCGAAATGGATATTATTATTTGGGGAAAACTCAAAACCTCTAATAGAAGGGCACTTAATTGATTTTCCGGAAGTGGGAAGCTCCAGGGATCCAGAGTCTAAAAATAGGACGGAGTTGGGATTTTTTGTGGGGGGAACTGTTTTGGAGTTTCAAAAAAACTTCGAAAAATCGATTTTCAGGATTTCAACGAACGAAAATTGAGCTCAAAAGCTCTGGTATAGAACGAGTTGGTATGAAAAAAAAATTCCAGATTTTTTTTCCAGTTTTCCAAAAATTTATTAAAACCGTGTCAGATTTTCTGAAAAACTAGCTGAATTATACAAGGACGTGCCAGTGGAAAAAAATTCAAATAGCAAATATTTTTTCGAATTTCGAAAAATTTTTGGTGAGGATCCATTTGATTTTTGGAAAAAAATCTGGGATTTTTTCCCAATTGTCAAAATTTTCAGAAAAAAGGAATCAAGAAATCCATAGGATTCTAGAAGTTTCTATCAAAAAAAAATCAAAAAAAGTTCGCCAAACCCCCCAAAAACCATCAAAAAATACAGGAAATCCAGGATGTAATACCGTCAGAAACCCATCAAAACCACCCCATCAAAATTGTCAAAATGGTCAAATTTCGCACATTTCTCGACATGATTTTTGATGGGTTTTTGTGGTTTTTCACAGGTTTACCCCCCAAACTACACAAAAAATATGTATTCAGGTATATACAGGTGACAAAAAAATGCATAAAAATCAGAAAGAGAGAGAGAGAGAGACGCAGACAGTGAGACGAACAAAAAAGGAGACGATCATCATTTATGGAAAAAAGAAAAGAAGGAGGAGGAGGTGATCAACAGTGACGGGAAGGGAAAAGGAAAAGAGAGAGAGAGAGAGAGAGAGAGAGAGAGAGAGAGAGAGAGAGAGAGAGAATGCTTCCACCAACCATACACTAAAAAAACACGTTTCTCGTGTATTTCCTCGCTTCTCTACGTCTTCTTTTGATTTTTTTGTTGCGAATTCTCGTCTTTCCGACTGTTTCCCCCGATTACGATTACACGCCATTTTTCTCGTATTAATTTTTACAATTTCAATGTTTACTATTGATTTTTCTTTAGTAGAATATAATTTCTTGAAAAAATAGTTTCCGAAAGAACAATCGTGGGTCTTTTCTAGGATAATCAATACCAATTTTGTGGGTATTTTGGTCCCACCACGATTTTTCGAAAACTCATGAGACTGCGATTTTCATAATCAGCGCTTTAAGACGGTCTAGATGAGTATAATCAAGCCCTAGTTCTGGAAATTTTGAAATTTTGGGTCCCACCACGAAAACCTAATAGCTACAGTATCTCTGTTGGTTTTTTTTTCCAAAATCGACATTGTCAAAATCAACTCGTCAAGAAATTTCAGAAAAGTATAATCACATGAAGGTTCAGAAAATTCCAAGTTTTTGAGAATTCCTGGGTCCCACCACGAAATGCCTGAAACTACCGGATCTTGGTTAGTTTTGCTCCAAAATCTAGTGATTTGAAAATTCCAGAACCAGTTGTTCTATACGGTTTTTGAAAAAGGCTTTCCAATTTTTTTCTGACAAGTGAGCAATAGCCAAGACGATCCTGACAGAGCTTCAGGATTTCATTATCACGAAAAATGAATTTTGGTCCAAAAACTTAATTCTAAGCAGAAAAATTTCTCATAAGCCGATTACTGTCGGTCAGATGTCCATGAGACCTAGAATCACGTCGGGTCTTACCACGACTACAGTAATCCATAGAAAATTGAAAAATTCTCTTTCCCCTCTCCCCTTCGTTTTCTTGTCTTTGCCCCTTACCGTTTTAGTCCCCATAAAAAATAATGGGTGGCAAAGAGTCTTCTAAAAATAGTTGTCTGGCAGGAGGACCGTCCGTAACCTATTAGGTGACCCAACCACTGACTTTGCCACGTCATCATCGAATTTGTTGGTCGAAAGTCTCTCTCTGTCTTGTTCTTCTTGACAATAAAAACGCCAGAAGACAACGTAATTGGATTTGGATTTGATTAGGGCCAACGTCTTCTTCGTCTTCGTCAGAAATGTTGGAAGAAAAGGAAGAGAGAGAGAGAGAGAGACAACAAAGAATACAGATCGGGAGGAAAATCGGCATGAAATCAGTGTGTGGGAAAATCAAAAATCAGGAAAAAGTGCCCTTTTGATTCTCATAGAGGTTATTTGAGAAGTCTGGTCACGCCCTTCTATTAGAGGCAGTTCTACATGGTGATAATAGCAGACCCATTAACTCGAGGCGTTCTATCAGAGCTAGCATTTTAGTGGTTTCTGGGATCTCGGTGCCCTTCAATTAGAGTTTTTTTGGAGGTTGGACTCGAAAACCTCTGATAAAATAGCACAATTTTGAACGTGGTACGAGTGTTTTTAGAGGAAAAATGGGAGATTTTCTACAGTAATTGTGATTTTTTTGGCGCTTTTCTATCGAAGTGCATTCATATAATGCACAATTTCCTGTCAAAAAAAATTCCAGAAAAAATTCCAGAGTTGTCTTCTATGAAAGGTTTGGATATCTACCTCCAATTCGGTGCCATTTTTTTACAAGTAGCTAATCAATTTTCAAAAATGTAGATTCGCAGAAAAAATAACTAGATCTTTAGGCGCAAAAATCCGTTCTTGGCTTCGTTAGATTTTCTTGATTTCAGAAAGAGCAATCCATTTTTTCAGTGGCTCCAAGCTCCGCCATCTCATCATAGGCTGAATTTTCTAGCACAGATTCATTTCCCGGGTCTAGCTCAGTATCAAAAAGGGAAAACGTATGAGAGTGGTGTACAAAATGAGAGTCAAAACAAGTGATATGTAAATTTAGCTATAGAAGAGGCTTATGAAGAGGAGCTGCTGAGGTGTCTTCTCATTGCTATACACGTCTTCTTCAAATTGAAGAAGAGGATGGGATGGATATATAGAAAATCGAGGAAGAGCGGGGCGAGAAAGACGGGGGGGATTAATCAAAAATATTATTAGAGGAAGAGATAAAAGGGTGGTGGTGGTGGTGGGGAGAAAATAGATAGAGAAGGGATGGAAAACTCCCTCTCAATATATATTATGTATATTTTTGAATGGGAGGAGATGCATCATATTACATTTTTCAAAAAATGGAAAAATGGACTAAAACATTGTGAAAATGTCACAAAAAGTGAGTGAAAGAAGTAGAAGAAGAAGAAGAAGAGAATGACGTCGCAAACGATTAGAGGCCGACGAGACGACACAAAAGACGCTGATTTTGTATAGGAGTTAGTCTCGGTCTTCTTCTTCTTCTTGTGGGGGCACTCTCTAGGTGTTCGGGATGGAATGAAAAAGAGAATTAACGTTGGGTGGAATCGAACTTGACCGTCTGTTGAACGGCGGGCGGCAGTGTTAGCCACTAGGCCATGGGGGTGCAACTTGGAAAGACAAGAGTGGGTAGGTAATGAATGCGCGGAACGGTGGGGGGGGGGGCGTCTCGTTTTAGGTCGTCGGTGAAGAAAAAAACGACGAGAATTTGTGAATTTTGTGATTTTTTTTTTCAGATCAGAAGCTGGAAGTTAGGCTTGGCGGAGGAATTCGAAGGAGCATGGGATTTGAATTTATAGTGAATTCTGAGGAACAAACTTTCAAAAAATCCAAAAAAAAGAGGCAATTTCCAAGCAGAAAAGCGGTTTTTTTCACGGAGTTGAAAAATCAAAAACTGGGAAAATCTAATTTTTTATAATATATCAAAAATTGAAATTTGTCGCGAAATTTGAACTCTCGCCAAAACTTTTTGACAAAATTGGGAGAAAAGGAGCCAAAAAATCACGAAACTTGAGAGAATTTGAGCTGGATACTTGAAATAGCAAAAATTTCAAAAAATGAAGTTTTTCTGAAAATTCAAATTCCCGCCAAAGTTTGAGTTACAGATGTTTCATAAAATACGGTTCAAAATTCATGATTTTCCAATTTTCCACTCCTGAAAAATAAAAAAATGAATTCTTAGAAATTTCAAATTCCCGCCAAGCCTCTATTTTCGAAAAATATCTGATTTTTGCCAAATCTAACCTCCAACCTTCACGGAAAATTACAGAAAAAACTTATGGTAATAATAAGAGCTTCCCCAAAAAAGTAAAAAAAATGTTTTTGGCCACCACCATCACTACAACATCTCAAAAAGAAGAAGATTCATCCACGATTTCTGTTAGATGGCGTGCTGCCCCCATCCACAAAAAGTAGTAGAAAAGCATCTCATCCCCGAGTGAGAGAGCAAAAAGAGATTCAAAATCGTTGAAGAGACTCAGACATCACAACCACATCGAATATTATATTTATTGGCCGTCGGGACGGGGCGGAAAAAAAAGGAAGAAGATGCACATATAGACAGGAAGAAGGAGATAGAAGAGACACAACGTTTTTTTGCTATAAACGGTGTGTGTATGCCGTGCCGCCGCCCGTTTTGTGTTGTATGATTGAATTTTTCCAACGTCTTCTTCCCCCTTCTTCGTCTTTTTTAACGTCTTCTGACAAGAAGCGGACCCAGGGGACTCCCCTTCTTCCTTCCTTCCGTTATGTGGGGTAACAAACTCTTTTTTTGTGTGGTGGGACTTGTGAACTTCCAATT